TCAGCTTCAGCACAGTGGGAGGCCATGGAAGAAAAAATCCTAACAAGTTGCAAGAGGCACATCCCTATGTCGTCGGGAAAAAGTAAGAAAAATCGCTCTACTCCGGAATGGATAAATGATAGAATCAAACATCAAATCAAATCAAAAAGTGCAGCTTACACCTTACAAAGGTTATCTGGTACAGAGAGTGACCGTTGTTCCTATGCAAAATTGTGCAACCAAGTTAAATGGGAGTGTCGGAAAGCTAAAAGAGAGCATGAAAGAAAAATTGCAAAGGAAGCCAAAGAGAATCCGAAAGCTTTTTATAAATATGCCAGAAGCAAGCTAAAAGTCAATGCCACAGTCGGAGATCTGAAAAAGGCTAATGGCAGCCTGGCTCAAAATGACAAGGACAAAGCCAATACACTAAATTCCTTCTTTGCTAGTGTGTTCACAAAGGAGGATACCTCATCAATACCAGACTTCCAGGACAGACCATTTAATACTACACTAAATAAATTGGACTTCACATCTAAGGACATCCATAAAAAACTATCGAACTTAGATGCCTCAAAAGCATCAGGACCGGATGGCATCTATCCCAGGATTCTCAAAGAACTGTGTGACGAACTAGATGAACCCTTACTTACCATATTTAAAAAATCGCTTGATGAAGGTGTGGTACCACAGCCTTGGAAGGATGGTCATGTAACTCCTATATTCAAAAAAGGTGACCGAAGCAATCCTGGAAACTATAGGCCTGTCAGCCTTACAGCAGTAGTATGCAAACTCCTTGAATCCTTGGTGCGTGATGCCGTCATAGAACATCTTGACTCAAACAACCTATTATCAGACCGCCAACACGGCTTCGTCCAGGGCAGATCCTGTTCAACCCAACTCCTGGCCTGCCTTGAAATATGGTCTCGTACCCTTGATGAAAGAGGAAGTCTCGATGCCATTTATTTGGATTTCCAGAAAGCATTTGATACTGTACCTCACAAAAGATTACTGAATAAGCTCTATGGGTATGGTATCCGTGGAGACATACTCACCTGGATCTCAGACTTTCTCAAAAACAGGCGACAGAGAGTCTTTGTTAACGGGAAACCATCTGGATGGTGCCCAGTTCTCAGTGGAATTCCACAAGGTAGTGTCCTGGGTCCTGCACTGTTTGTCCTCTATATCAACGACCTACTGGATAATGTGAGCTCCAGGGTCCAGATGTTTGCAGATGATACTAAAGTCTTCAAGGAAATTAAGTGTAAAGAGGATGCAGAAAAACTCCAGTCAGATCTCAGAGAAATGCAAAGATGGTCCGAGTGTTGGCAGCTCAAATTCAATGCAGCAAAGTGCAAAGTAATGCACTTAGGTTTTCTGAATAAAAAATATGAATATGGGTGATAATTCAAACACTATAAACCTATCCGAGACTCAGAATGAAAAGGACCTCGGTGTGAATGTTGACAATACCCTGACATTTAGTGACCATATCCGTCGGGCAAGTAACAAAGCCAATGGTATCCTAGCAATGATCCGCAGATCATACACTTATTTGGACTCTGACGTAGTACGTAGTTTATACATCTCTCTTGTACGGCCACTCCTCGAGTATGGGAATGTCGCTTGGTCCCCCATGTACAAAAAGGATGCTGAGCTCATCGAGAAAATACAGAGAAGGGCAACGAAGCTGGTTCCAGAACTAAAGGACCTACCATATCAAGAACGACTGCAACGTCTTAAAATCCCGAGTATGTATTATAGAAGGGCGAGGGGAGATATGATCGAAGTTTTCAAATATCTCCACAACATCTACAAAACATCATGCCCACTACAACGGGATTATAACACCAGGACTCGTGGACACTGCCTCAAGTTGAAGAAACAGTACTCAAGACTGGCTATCCGCCGCAACTTTTTCAGCCTGCGTGTGGTTGACTTGTGGAATGATCTGCCAGAAAGCGTTGTCACATCCAAGACGGTTAACTGTCTCAAATCCCGCCTCGACCACTACTGGTCAAACATCACCTTCACTTTGGACTATGTGACTGTTGCCAGCATCCATAGTAAATAAAGAATCAGTGATCTACTCATTTATTTATGAGCGACTAAAAGGCCTTAGGCCTATTACAGCCGTATCCTATTGATTGATTGATTGATTGAGAGGTAGCAGATCTGCTGGCTCTAACAATGTCTCTGTGGAGAACACCCTCTCTAGAGACAGAGGCAGCAGATCTGCTGGCTCTAACAATGTCTCTGTGGAGAACACCCTCTCTAGAGACAGAGGTAGCAGATCTGCTGGCTCTAACAATGTCTCTGTGGAGAACACCCTCTCTAGAGACAGAGGTAGCAGATCTGCTGGCTCTAACAATGTCTCTGTGGAGAACACTCTCTCTAGAGACAGAGGTAGCAGATCTGCTGGCTCTAACAATGTCTCTGTGGAGAACACCCTCTCTAGGGACAGAGGTAGCAGATCTGCTGGCTCTAACAATGTCTCTGTGGAGAACACCCTCTCTAGAGACAGAGGTAGCAGATCTGCTGGCTCTAACAATGTCTCTGTGGAGAACACCCTCTCTAGAGACAGAGGTAGCAGATCTGCTGGCTCTAACAATGTCTCTGTGGAGAACACCCCTCTCTAGAGACAGAGGTAGCAGATCTGCTGGCTCTAACAATGTCTCTATGGAGAACACCCTCTCTAGAGACAGAGGGTAGCAGATCTGCTGGCTCTAACAATGTCTCTGTGGAGAACACCCTCTCTAGAGACAGAGGTAGCAGATCTGCTGGCTCTAACAATGTCTCTGTGGAGAACACCCTCTCTAGAGACAGAGGTAGCAGATCTGCTGGCTCTAACAATGTCTCTGTGGAGAACACCCTCTCTAGAGACATAGGTAGCAGATCTGCTGGCTCTAACAATGTCTCTGTGGAGAACACCCTCTCTAGAGACAGAGGTAGCAGATACAGCCAGGTAGCGCTTTGCTAACATGGCAGCATGAGGATACTTGGCATTTGTAATAGCTTTGGCTCGGTCTGAACTCTCTGCGAGTGGTGGAGGCTTACATGCTAGCGGGAGTTGGGTTTGCACTTCAGTCTTTTGGTACCGGTGATATTCACGTTCGGGTGATGCCTTTTCAAGAGTGTGCACGTTTGATGTATTGCCAGCCGCGTAACCAATGTTAGTTGAACAATGCCGACAAACAGCTTTGGTTCGGTCCACCTGTCTTTGCCCGTCATCCTTGTTCGTAACTGCAAAACCAAAATGTTCCCAAACCGGAGACTTCAATGATGCTGGAGGATTTTCAGCTCAACTTTATCTGCGTTCGCCATTTCCACAGTTCCTCAAATTACTGACTACATTTGAACGCATCCCTGTGACCAGCTCTCAGTATGCCTCTCGTCCAATGAAATGACTTGCTCGCTCTATGACGCGTTGAACCCAATGTGAGCAAATGACTCTGAATGCTGCGACGCAGCACCTGAGATTACTTCCAACAAGTTGTTCACGTTCTCAATTTTTTACGTTTAACGTTATATTCGTTCGGTTCACTTCAGTACACACGAGTACCGAACCGAAGGGCCCGTACCGAATAATTTCGGTACGGGTACGTATACCGTTACACCCCCTAGTAGTGTGTAGTAACATCAGTGTAGATAGATATATATATATATATAATAGATATAGGAATATATAACCAGGGGCGGTTCTAGGGGGGGCCACAGGGGGCACTGGCCCCTGTGGCCCCCCTAGAACCGCCCCTGGTATATTCCTATATCTATTATATATAATAGATATAGGAATATATAACCAGGGGCGGTTCTAGGGGGGGCCACTGGCCCCTGTGGCCCCCCCTAGAACCGCCCCTGCCCCCGGTAACATGGGTCTAGAACTGCTCAGCATATATATATATATATATATATATATATTAGGGCTGTCAACAAAAAAATTAACGCCACTAATTATTTTAACGCGATTAACGCATGTGCATTTTTTGTCCTCGGCCACCCCGTAGTTTCAGAGCGCATCGAGTTTAAAATAAATCCAAGCACGTTGCTGATGCCGACAGCCCGCTCCTGCCGCCCGCTTGTGGCACACTTGAAAGTGTGCGGAGGAGACGCCTGGACTCGTCTACGAGCAGCAAACTTTCAACAAAGATCGCGAAATGGGTGGCGACAGCTTGTAGGCCAATTAACATGGTGGAGGATGAGGGGCTGCGTGATATCATCCGGGTCGCATCTAACGGCTGCACTTATGAATCGCCTTCCAGAGCCACCACTGTGTCGAAAACACACAACTTGTATGAAGTCCAAGCAGCGAAAGTAGAGGAGGATTTAAGAAAGACTCACCGGAGACTATTGGACTTCACTCAGTGAGGACAGTTAGCTCGGAGTCACAGCGCCTTATTTTGACCCACAGTGGGAACTTCAGTCTCATGCTTTGACTGTTATGAAAACAGAGGAGCGGCATTTCGCCGACACACACACACACACACACACACACACACACACACACACACACACACACACACACACACACACACACACACACACACACACACACACACACACACACACACACACACACACACACACACACACACACACACACACACACACACACACACACAGTATTATTGAATGAGAGAGGTTCCAGGTTGAAATGAGGCGAATATTTGTAATGTTCAAATGATAATGAACTAACATTTGAACAATAAGAGTATTAAAAACTTGAAAAATATCCCTCTAAGGTACATTTAGAATTTGCCATTAATCGCGATTAAATATTTTAACAGCCCTAATATATATATAATAGTATAATAGGTATATAGAGGTGTTTCTGACCCCTATCGATCAGCCGGTCGATGTCCGGGTCTCTTGCTGTTGTTGTTTACAGATAGTAGATGTAGATAGATGTGTGTATATATATATATATATATATATATATATATATATATATATATATATATATATATATATAAATAAAGGTATATATAAAGGTATATAATAGTATACATAAAGGTGTTTCTGACCCCTATCGATCAGCCGGTCGATGTCCGGGTCTCTTCCCGCGCAGAAGCATTTCCTCCACAGTCCGGAGTGCGCGGGAAACAGCGGCCTCCCGCACGCGGTCTCGAGGATGCCCATCCCGAGGATCGCACGCCAGTTCTCCAGCAGTTCGTCCTCGCGGCTGCCCACGTGCACGGGCTTGCTGCGCGCGCGCGTCCCCCCCCCCGTACTCCAGCAGCGGCAGGTGGTAGATTGGCATGTCGCGGTTCTGCTGGTCAGAGGACTCGGTTCCGGTCCGGTCGCAGTTCTCTTTGTGGCGGTGCGTGTCGGTCTCATACCAGTGGTCCGTGCACAGCGCGAGGAGCAGCAGCAGCAGCGCGAGCGCACCGGACACCGTCACCGCCACCGGCAGCAGCCTCTGCATGGACCCGGTCCCGGTGCTGCTGCTGGACCCCTTTATGGGCCCGGTGCTAGGCCCGGTGGTCCCGGTGCTGCTGGACCCCTTACTGGGCCCGGTGCTAGGCCCGGTGGTCCCGGTGCTGCTGGACACCTTACTGGTCCCTGTGGTCCCGGTGCTGCTGGACCCAGTCCCGGTGCTGCTGGACCCGGTCCCGGTCTCAGTCCCGTCACTGGGCATCTTCTCCTCCCATCTTCCCCTCTCTGTT